GTTAACTCTATCGAAAGCATTGGAAAGGTCAAAAAATACGTCCACTGATGTTCCTTGGTTCATTGCGGTAATCCAATCAAAAATTGAATCAGAAAGTAAACCAGTAGTTGACCCCCTTGGAAGAAAGCCATGTTGAACAGAAGGTATAATTATGCGCTTATCTGACCAATCATACAGTTTTTCCTTTACAAATTTTTCGAGGATTTTCCCACAAGGCGCAGTGATACTGATGGGGCGGTAATTTAAAACAACACTGGAATGCTCGCGCTTTGGTATAGCTGCTACCAAGGCTTCCTTCCAGATTTGAGGAATCTCTTCTAGTGATAAGGAGGCGTTAAAAATAAGCGACAAGGAAAAGGCAAAGAGCACACTTTCGATATAAGACTTGTGGGAGGCCATCGTATGCAGCGCAGTTTGTTGGTTTTAGTTTTCTCAAAATATTATAGATTTTATCAAGATTTTTGCAGATGACATAAAACTCTATTTTTGCTACGAAGATGACAAGCAAAATGTGGCCTACGAAGCAATCTCAAATGCTATTCATAAAATGATCATGTGGTCTAAGGAGTGGGACTTACCCGTTAACGCACTCAAATTAAAAGTTTTGCATCTTGGCAAATTCCACCCGTCGCGCACATACCTCTGTGACGGTGTTGAACTTGAGCTGTGCAGTGTTACCAAAGATTTAGGTGTTTTGGTTGATGACCAGCTAAAGTTTACCGCACACTACCAGAAAAGCTTTGTCAACTCTTTTTGTTATATTAAGGAGCATTCATAGTAATGATCCCGTACTCCTAGTCCGAGTTTACAAGACCTATATCTTACCACTTTTAGAATACGCATCTCCAGCTTGGAACCCCCATTTGAAGAAGAACATCGAAAAACTTGAAAAGGCAAAAAACTTTTACCTCTTCTACAAATGTTACCCAAAACCGCACTACCCTCAATCGTTACCCTCTTATAGATCAAGGCTTATAGCCTTGGGACTTCATAGTCTAAAGTATAGACGGGTTTTTAACGACTTGGTTTTTCGCTTTCGCATTCAAAACCTGGAGACTAGGTTACAACCTAGCAATTACTGGAATTTTAGACCTTGCGGTACTCGGACTGGAGGTCTGGGTTTGTGCTACCGAAAATTAGGCAGTAGGATAGTCTCTGTCGCCTTCAATTCTTTTGTATGCGGGGATTCACCCCTTTCCCTTTTATTGATATTGAACACGACCCCTCGACGGCTTGCCAATCCGCCAGAATGCACTGGTATGCACAATTAGGATGATTCCTAAACAAATGTATGCGCAATTTCGTGGAAGCCATGGAGGGGGCTTCAATGTCGAGCGACGGGTTTGTTGCGTGTACGCAGAGTGCAATCAGCACAACGTCAAAGTCCGGAAGTTGTGGTCGTTACATGGTCGTGACGACCTCGGAATCAGAATGAGCAATGCGGTGTATAAATGCCATAAAGCCATATCCTTAAAAATCATCATCCTGACAGATTTCATCAAAAGCTCCATTCCTCTCAAAAAATACACACCAACCACACGATACCACTCAGATTTTACTTCTAAAACCCAAAATCACCAAAAGAGAAGCGCTAATGGATTCAAGCGATTATTCTGGATTAATGAGGTCCCATTTCCATTGATAAGTCACAAAATGCACTTTCTCTTTTCTCAGTGTCATTTGATACGGGTGTATGACAACAAAGAATACGACAAAGCTAGTCGAAGTGAGGGTGAGAGTTTTGATAGACCAGTAGGAGTCGGGTCGTGGGAAAAGAACTGAATAAAAAAACGAAAAGCTTAGTCATTGAATAACAGCTCAGGCTTGACCAACGGAAGCATAAATTAGAAACCTTGGCAAGCTCCAGATAAATGGAATGGCTATGTTGGTCCACCGCTCAGCATTTCTGCTTTTTTCTTTTCTTTAAACAATTTCCAAATGTATGTTCTACCTGTGTTGAATTAATGCCCAAGTTAGACCTCCAATTACATATTTATAATCGTCTGTTTTTCAAAGCTAATCCCCTCGCGCAATATTTCCACTAACGGAACTGTTAGGAAAACAATCCTTGATTGGTACAGAATAAGCTAAGAAGAAGTAACTTGTGATAAATTTTGCCAAAAGTACCAAAAAATATTGCACAACTCGCAAATAAAGAAGATAGTCGGGACAATTTTCATAGGAAAAGCTTGAAGGAGAAGAGCTTTTGTTAACAGAACGTTGCGGCTGAATAAACGAGGCGTCTTTTGATAAAGTAAAAGTTAATGAGCTCTTTATACTTGGTTGATTAGTCATAATGTACCGTAAAAAGGGGGGTGATCCCTCGTTTTTTGATGTTATGTCCTGCTTATCAGGTTGATATTTTTCAGCATATTCTTGATTCATCAGTGATCCTCCTTCTCTTACAAACTACACTCCCACAAATAATTGACCGTGAAGCAGCGTTTATTAGGCTAATAGCAGAGAGTGCTACTACGGTGTGAGAGTGCGTGCATTTGCAAGGTATGAGGTAAAATTGACAGTATTCCTCATTGTCCTCCTGCATACTATTAGGTTGATGTGTAATTCTTGCACTAAAATTTTTGAAGTTCTGTTAATTCCACGTTAAAATCTTCTGGTTTGATGCACATTAAAGGAGCAAACCTGAGCAAATTTTGCACTGGTTCGATCATTAGAGGGAGCAAATCTTGCGCTTTCTAAAGGCGTTCGAGCCAAAAATTCCATAAGGAAGAAATACACCCAAACAGCGTTTTTTTCTTCTATTTTTAGTCACCAAAATAGCCACAACGTCTAGAATTTGAGTTCATTTTTGATTCAAATTTCACGGCATGCTCTTTTTAACTGTGAGAAGTTGGTAGTGATTGAATGTGTCTGGGAATAGTTACAAATTCCGATTTTTTGAAATGACTTATCGATTTTGTATCATATTGAAAAAATCTAAAACGTATTATAAAATACTAATTTTGATATACATAACAAAGAACATTTCGTTTGAGTTAATTAGTTTGATTAAGAATTTTTAAAACAATTTTTTTTCTATTTTTAATGCAAGAATTGTGCTCCAACCGACGTAATTTAATCTTCGTCAAAGACACCTTTGCTCCGAAAATATTTACTACCTTAGTTTAGCCGTAAGAGATTCTAGGTGACGAGAGGGGTGGGTGGGGGGGGGGGGAAGATGGTTCCAACAACAAGTCTGTTTTTGTATCTCCCTATCGTTCCAAGAGCCCAGAATTTAACTGGGTTTCACAAGATGCAATTTTTGAGAATAGCACTTTCCCCATTCCCGCTGATACCATCACGTCAGCTCAGGGTCTGAGTGAATGACTCAGGTTCTTCCTTTTTAGTGTGAAGGGGGCATGATATTTTACATAAATATATTATTCAATCATAAATGTTTTTTGTGTGATTGAGAGTTTTGTTGAATAGTATTTTTTCAGTCCCAACTGCGCTGTATTTCTGAGTCCTATGACTAGCCTAATTTTCCCATTAGACGCATCCCTCATACATTGAGTACGCACTCAAAACAATGACATGACTCATTTGGGAAAAATTCGTCACATTCTTCGGCTCTCTCTGGGTCGATTCGGCTGATGACTTGCATTGTAAATGGGTTTCTCGCGTTGATGAAAGAGAAGCGATGGTGATTATTGTCCAACAAAGTGGGCTTGAAAATAGCTCAGCTATCAAAGTCGGGTTTCGGCATGCTCAAGAATAAGCATCTTATATCAGCGATTCCAAGCGCCTATTATCATTATATTGATGAAAAGGTGGTACGATAGCACTGACAGTTTCTATTCGCTCATGTGTTGGCAAAGATAGTGGTTTTAGTAGGGGGCGTACCAATTTGATAACGAAAACATCCGTACTAATAAATGATGCGAATTGCTATTGGCGGAGTCATTTTGAATTTTTGTGCACTTCTCCACGCTCTCGAGTTATTCCTCTTACCGTAGATTTCTCAGCTGCATTTCTCAAACCAACCCAAAACGCAATAACGCTAGATTGGTATGGATTTTTTGGCAACAGAAACGCAAGCAAAGTTCAAGAACAAATTTGAAAAAAGCAACATCTTTTTTGGAAGAATTAATAATAAGTTAACTAGACAATCGCAAAAGGTAAAAGCAGAATTTTACGACATTCGTGAAAGTATCTCACAAGAGTTGAAAGCTGTGCAACTACTTGTTTTTCGTAAGTATTGCAATGATACTTAAAATCTTTAAATTCAGATTTGTGAATGAATTTTCTTGGGCTTCAATGTGATCAAAAACTGCGCCAGATAGTTTTCCTGGTAGTGAGTCTTTTAACAAAAGTCAGAACAGGTTGGCCGATGCAGAACCACGCAATCTGAACCTTCTTAGTGCCTAAAAACTGGTTTTTGCGAAGCTGGTCTAATACATAAACATCATACAATACCGTATTTTTTGAAAAAAAGAGTCGCCCGATTCATGTGACATCACCGTCGCATGTCTATATCTCGCTTCAGTGTAGACGAATTCTTAAACCAAGGACATCATTCGACTCAGCGGGGCGCGGCGCACTTCTATTATGCAGAAGTGTCGCTTGAACACAGTAGGGCCAGATTCTAGGAATCGTTTGAGATTTTTGAGTACAATAGGTTACTTGGTACGCCTATTATTGCAACTTACCGTGAGCAAAAAATTGGAATGAATCGTGAAATCTAGCCTCCTATATGTTCAAGCTGTTACTTCTATATCTTAGAAGATGCGCCGCGCTGAGCTGAGTGAGTCGAATGATGCCTTTGGATTAAAAATTTGTCCTTTTGAGGCGAGATATGGCCACGTTACGGCGATGTCACGTGAATCGGGTGACTCTGCGTCGTTTTCTCCAAGACATGCGAGCGGTATTGTATGTTGAAATGAGCTATAATAATACCTAGCCAAACAAAACAGGTAAAGTTTTGAATTTTTCCTATTATATTGCACTATATCAATATCAAATAAAATTTGCAAACCAATCATTCTTCTTTTTTTCAAGAAATGATGCGTCATTTTGTCGCATTTTTGCTACTGTTATTCGTTTTGGAAATCTCAGTCGAGGCGTCTAATTCCGTTCATGTTTGCTACTTTAACAATGGATCTGAGTGCAGAGCACGTTGCATGAAAATACTAGTATGCCTGTTTACTCATCTATTCGAATCATCAATTCAAGAATTGATTCATTGAATCAAAATTCAGAATTGCCGAAACGGACACTGCAAATTAGGAGCAATCGGAAAATTTGTCCAAATGAGGTGTTACTGTGAGGATTGTCCCGGTGGTCAACAGACGAAGAACCTGCCTGGGGCTCTGAATCTTGCACATATTTGAGCTTTTTGTGCAAAATACCAGTATGAAGTTATTATGATGCGAGTTAGTCAATGTTCTTACTACACAGCATTATTATTCAGTTATCGGCAATTTTCAAATTTTAATAATGTACGAGGGAATAGCTGGTATGCTTATCTTACCATGCTAAAACAATTCTGTTCTTTGTCCCACAATCAAATGTTCAAAATTAGTAGATTCATGGAAGTGTACGATGAGTTTACCAATTGAAAAACACACATTTGCGATTTCCTCGCCAGCCTGTCCACTGTCAGCATTATACCTCGATGACCGCGCGCATAAGCGCGTATGCGCGCCGGAGCTCCCATTTAGCACTTTCGTGCATAAGACGTATGCACACTGGTTTTTCAGGTGTAAAAAAAGTGCTAAGGTAACATATGCAGTAACAATACTGGTTGCCCGATTGTCATATAGAGTCATCGCGGTAGCTTTACAGAAGTTTAGAACGCAACTTTAGCTATTAAAATATGTCATTTGTGTTTTATTGACAAGGAAAGCATACTTGGCCGAAGTGTAGTTTCCATATGAAATGTACAGTGTCTTATAGCTCATGGAACGCTGATTCCGAATTTGCTTTTATTATCTGCAAAGCTTTTTTGGAAAGAAAATAATGTGAATGTTTTTGAAAAAAATTCAAGAGCTTGGCTGAGGTAAAAACAGGCGTTGAGCCTTCCAATGCTTGAAGGAAGTAATGACGGCATAAATTATTGGACTGAAGCTAATAATTACACTGAGCACCCTGACAGTAATCATAGCCCCATTTGAACTCACAGGCTACATGGATGATTTTGTTGTAACCTCGGATCCAAATTTCTGCTCAAAGAAAGTCCCATAACTCTCCTCCTAAAAGAGCTTTGCAGATTACGAAAGCAGATTTGAAATCAGTGCTCCATGCTCTTTAATACAACATACATTTCACATGGAAAAGCCATTTCGATCAAGAATCTTTCCCTTGTGAGAAAGTTGGAACTTGTACAACTGTTCTGAGAGGAATCAAAGAAGAACTTAGGCAAGAAACACTCGATATTATAACGCTTTCTTCGGGAGGAGATTCTCATACAGCATAGCCATTGCATAGTTTATTGAAGGAGGAAATAATTCAGAAATCTTCATGCATGTAATTCCTGATAGACTCTGTAACATACAAGTATTTTTAAAAATAATGGTTTGCATTGCATGAACAAGCGTCAAAAAGACTTCCACATAATGATTTTTGCATACGCGCGTATGCTCGAAATCATTATATGGAAGTCTTTTGACCATTCAAAAAACACGCACGGTTTTTTTTCAAAATTACTTGAATCACAGAACACGTCAGTGAGAGGGACGTCATCAAATCGGGCCACATTGCAATTACGCACTTCTTCAAAAATCTGCTTAAAAGTAGAAAGAAACACTTGAAACGCAGATAACTCGTAATCAGATTATTTAGAGGAAAGTTTACAGTCAAACCCGTGATTGTCTTCGGGATTGCTTCACCTTCAATTGTCCACAAAAATTGCATGTCTACATGGACAGAACTTGCCAAAGTAACCCATCACGAGTAGTACCAACGTTGACTTTGTTCATATAACTGTTGGTCAAGCTTTTTTGCCAAAAGTTTCCGTTGGTGAGTTCATATGCAAAAGCTATCTACATAAAATTGCTCTGCTAATTTTAGTTCTCGTTAATGACCCGATCAAAAATGCAATGATTTATGCTATTTGACAAAATAATGTTACTCGCTACTGAATATTGCTGGAATAAAGCCTAAGAGATGTTTCGCGATTATTATCTATGGAAGCTTTCTGAAACAACAGTAGGGCAAGTATCACCGCCATAGCGCTCCATGGATCATGACCAAGAGATGCTGGAAAATTCTTGCGTTATCCTAGGTAATAAAAATGGATTGCATGGAGCCAAACCTTTATAAGTTATTGTGGCTAATCTGCGAATTGTCATGGTTTGCCTACAAGATAATACATTCTTTAATGTCGTTCCATTGCGGAGATCAAAGATTTCTGTCCTCGCTCACTTCGAGAAACACATGATTTTGTGTCATTTAGAGTGAGCGCATAGCAAACGCGTTACGGTAAAAGAAGAAGTTTACTTCATGAGCTATTTAAGGCAGTTTTTCCTGCATTTTCGGTACATCTAGAAAGTTTACTTAGCTGTATTACGTTTCAGGTACTAAAAGCAATACATTTTTATGACTTGTCTTTCTTTTACTGGGAAAACAGTGCTGGAAATGTCTCTATTTTCTGAATATACTGGGTAATCTCACAAATGGTTTCCGCGGCTTCGACAGGAAACAAATGTGGTGAAAGAACTCAGAGACTGTTCTCTCTCCAAAGTTTGCATGATTGATTACTCGTTGCAGATTTTTGTGCTATAGAAAAAAAACAGACTAATCGTCAGGTGATAACAGCCCTCAGAATGTACTAGCCAAACCAGAACGCAAATTATTCACGTCTGCCGCTCTTCAAACGACAGAAGAATGCCAGCGTCTGGGTCGATGGTTTCGACTCGCTTTTAAGGAACGGGTGGAGTAGGGTCGAAATTTTTTGCTTGCGTAAGTAAAAACAAAAAAGTCTATTTCCGCATTGCTGTCAGAATGGTTTGGATCCCTCCCGCGTTGCCATTTTGGAAAAGAAGTGAAGTCAAAAATTTAGGCTTTGATCAAAGCAATTGTTTCTACTTATTTTAAATTCTGTGTGCTACTCGTCTAACAACCTTGAAATGAAATGCCCCTAATTTTTTTACAGAAAAGTCGGAACGTTTGTTATTCACAAATTCTTTGACAAGCTGCATGTGAGTAGTTCATGACATGACATCACAAATCAATCCACTCGCAATAACAGAAAGGAGGGAACCTTTTGTTTGAGCACTTGGATGTTGACCACTTAGTTTTCTCTTCTCAACTAACCTAGGACTATCGAATTAAGAGAAAATTATTATTTTCGTGCCGCTTTACTTATGTAAGACGGACGAGAAGAATGCGAAGAGCTGCTCCGTGTTTTCGCACTTATATGCATAGGTTTGGTTATCAATAAAAGTGCTGCCTGAGACATCTATTCTCAGGGGATGCACAGGTGAGAGAAGTTTTCCATGCTAATCACCGTGGTTTATATCATACAGCCTCAACTACTCCACAAAAAAAGCATTTTCTTGGAATTCCAGGTGTGTCATAACAGAGCTGTAACACGGAAAGGCTCTTTGCGATGAAGGGTAAAATTACGTAGACATCATACTGCATGTATCGTTTAATCGTGAATGGTGGTAGTTCATGTCTGATAGCTTTCAAATCACACTCAGAGGTGACACTCAGATAAAAAAGAAAACTTGCAACATTTCAAGTTTTGCGCAACGCTGCCATTGAACAGAAAGAAATATGGTTTTGGAAATTTTCACTTTGAAGGAATAAGGTTTATAACTGCAGAAAGGCCTTGTCAAACTTGCGTACTCTCAAGAACTATGTCAGAACCAAAAGTAATGACAGTCCATTCAGATTGAAACATTTTGAGCCGTTCTTTTTCCAATTACGCGTTCTTCGAAACTGCATTTCGAAGAGCAAAAATAGTGTACATATTCTTTCATTGACAATCAATGATGGTTAGAAAGACGACTTAAGAACAGTTTTTTGTTGGCTGAATGGACCCTCGTGAGATATCCTTGCACTAAATAGCAGGATTCTGTTTAAAAGCTTGCATACTTATAAATTGAAGCTAAAACCGTCGGCTCTTATCGCGCAGCACTTGATGCTATTTTTTGCGCGTAAAGCGCCTTGTTTCAAAATGAAAAGAGAGGTCTAACTTTTCGTTTAGTTTACTGAAAATCAAAATTGTCATTCTTTTCTTTTGCAACGTGAGTTTTTTTTTGTGACAAAGCAGACAATGGTTTATAATCCTTACTTTTATTGCACAGGTAGTGTTATGTTTGTCGCAGTAGAAGAACCGATAGCTGCGGATCAAGGAAAGCACAATTTTTGCCTTTGAGCGGTGTAATCAGCTTTGAATAAGAAATAGTCACTAATAAATGAATTTAATAATCCTACAGTAATGAAGAGAGATGGACGATTTGCTCCATACTGCAGATCTAAGATAGACCTCGCTCTATAAAATGGTGCCTCAAGCTTGGCGAAAGACCTAAAAGCAAGGGAGTTGTTAACGATCAAACAGTGTTCACGTTTTTTGGGACACTCTGTATATTCCATTGTTGCGCAAAACCTTCTGCCCCAGCAGTCAGATTTTCAGATTTGTTTTTCCAGAAATCAATGTCCTGGCTCCAAAAAGGTCGTCTAACCAGCGCCTAAGATCGTTTCGAGTGTAGTGGTTGCAGATTTCCGCAGGTCTTAGCATCAGGCTAACTGAGGAATTCATCCTGCAAAAATTGATTTGCAAAAAGCCTTGAAGTTATTCTTGGTTCTAATCGTAATGCTCATGTGAATCACAAGGCAACATACAATACAGGGTGTTTCACTATCTAGCAGCCAAATAGTCACTGATAAATGAATTTTAAGACGCTTTCGAAATTTGCTGGTGTTTGGTGCATTCATTTGATAGCAATTTTTCTAAAGTTAAAGACTTTCAAAAAGATTATCGAAGCCACCCAAAGCCGGTTAGGAAATGAAAACCAATCACGGCATTGTTGAGCACGAGGCATGGTGCTGCTTTTTTGAGAACTTGTGACTCATATTCAGGATATAATATGTAACTGTATACTTATCTTTGTGCCGGTATAGAAATTTTATGTTATGGGGAGGGGGCGGAGGAAGGGCGTCGTGACAGCACTTTTTGAGGGATGCGTTAGCCACAATCCGCAAAGATTTTTGGGATGCATTCTGATCTTGCGAAACTAAGTCCGAGATCTCAGGAAAAGGAAGCGTAGCGGCAACAAAAAGATCTTAAAAAATTTTGCAGGGCTGTCTTGAATTTTTAGAAATTTCTGGGGTTTATTTAAAAACTCAAGCACTTAATTTTATAATTCACCTGAATTTTCCAAAATCTACGATTCTGGGGAAGGCTCCCCTCTTTGCCCGCTATGTTATCTTTTCTTTAGTAAAACTCAAAGAGGCCTCATTTTATAGGCGAAGTTGTTTGAT